AGCTCCGGGATGCCGCCGCTCTCTGCTCTTTGTGCTGCCCTCTCTCCTTCCACTTTTCGCTTAACGTCTTCAGCAATTTCACTTAATGACGGGTTGGGTTGATGCTGTTTTAGGAGAAAATATCTATCTATTCATCGATCTATATTTATGTATACACTCACACGTGTGTGTGCGTGCGCTTTCTGTGCCGCTTTTCAATCGTTAGGCAAAGTCATTTGGTGCTAACTTAAGACATCACTCAAGCCACATGGGGAGACAGTGGATGAAACAGGAATATCTGCCACTAGGATTATCTCCCTGGAGAAGGTTTGGGGAGGGAGGGGGAGTGCCCTGGAATAGACTGAGCCTAAAGTATAGGTTTATTTTAAAATCATCAATCCAAGCGTGGTGGTAAGAGTCATTCAGGAAGGTCTTTTGTGCCAAGAGATACTGTGGTTTTTGGTAATACTCAGACTGTGATTTTTTTTTTTTTTGTAAGAGAGGGTTTTCGCTTATGGCATTTGTAACCCAAATGTTGCAGCAGAGAGCTTCTCTAGGACAGACGCAAGGTGAAAGCGGCTAGCTGCCCAGATGAAATGAATGATTGTGTCTGCATTGCCTGAGCCAAGCAAACATACAATGGAGGGGGACAGCCCATTCTTGGCATAAGAAGGTCTGAATAACGACTTGGCACCAGGAAGATACGTAGAGTTGTTGGGTCTTTACAGATTTTTTTTCTTTTTTCTTTTTTTTCCTGTTTTCTCCTCCTTTTTTTGTGCCTCCTGGAAGTCACCCTTTGGCTGAGGGGAAGCAGGGGCTGATTCTAATGTTCTTTCTCTTGGGTTCTCATCCTGTCCTGCTTCTACCTGTGCCAAGGGGGAGGTAAATCACAGCCATGCTCCCTTGCCTGTCCCCAGCACACAAGGTCTCTCCCCGTCCTTTTGTGCAGGTGCTGTGACCTTCCAAGGATGTAATGGTATGAAGAATTTTACTCCTTCTTCTACCCTGAAATGGATGCCAACAACAGTGTGCTCAGACCATGTTTCTTGGTATAGGCATGTACTTTGGGGCATATCCTCAAGGCTGGAAAGAATCCTGTCCTTGGGTCACACTGGGCATATTCAAATATACTGGACCCAAGATTCAGTGCCCCGGGGCCCCTAGGCTGAACCCAGGGCTAGAGCTTTGAGCTCCAGTTGGTTGTATACACTGGCTAGTTGCCAGGATAACCTTTTGTGTGTTTAACACTGGTAGGGTATGTGTGGGGGGCGGAGATGGGGGGAACACATCTGTTCTGCAGATGAGAGCTGCAAAGTCATTCAGAAATGAGGTAAAGCTCATGAAAATGATTTAGCTGACCCCCTCCCCCTCCAAACTGTAGCTCCAAATCAATTCCCATCCTGCTTTTCTTGGTAGAAGCAGTAGGAGCCACTAGAGCTATAAGGGGATAAAAACCCTCTTTCTTTCCTCCTCATTTCTTTGATCTCCAGCTAAATAGCTGCCCACTCTCTCCCTCCTTCTTCCCCTGTCCTCCCCCCACCATGTCTGTAATGATGGAGCTGTGTTTTACAGATGTTTTATAGCCATTTTGATTTAAGGTTAATCTACATGTGAGAAATGATCGGTTTATATCAGTATAATTCTAGTAGGATAGGTATGCTGGTAACATTTCTTATGTGACTAGTTTGATTCTGCAAGAAGAAGTCTTTTTTCTCTCTGCTGTTTTCTTTGCACCATTGTTCCTCCTTCTTTACTCCTGTGTAACTTTGACAGTGGCATAAGCTATCATAGAGGAAAAAAAATGCAACTCCAACCCCACATTCTTACTCTGGAATCAGCATGTCCATATGGGGAGCGTTACCCGTCTAATTATACCACCAGATCTCTGTTGGGAATTTTTCCTGCATAGACAAGTCTTAGGTCTTCTTGGTAGATTGTCTTCCAGCCAAGGAAGAAAATTATGCCTTCCTGCCAAAATGTCAGATGAGAATATCTGACACTTTGGAATGGGCAGGACTTCTGCTTGCCCAATCTCTGGATTAGAAGCCATTTCTCACGTTTTTTTTTAGAATTGCTTCTGAATTCTCCAGCAGCTCAGAGTATCACACCCTCAAAATTGACATTAATTAGAAAAGCAGGGAGAGGCAGCCCGTAGCCAGGATGCAGAGAAGGCTAGTCCCAAGCTCAACAGCTGTCTCAGTTCACTGAAAGCAGCAGGATAGTAAGCATCCAGGTTTTTTCCTTTCTAACCAGGGAATATTTGATTCCGGAAGGAAAAACTTAGAGGGTTCCCTATGTAGAGGTCATTTTACTTACCAAATGTGGGGAATCTTTCAGCTTTGCCAGCTCCTCCCTGTAGGAAGGTATGTCTACAAGCCTCTAGTTTCTACCCTTGGGAAAGGGAGGAGTTGGGGTGGCCACGTAAGCTGCCTGGCCTGATTTTAATGCCTTCTTCAGGAAACTACGCAATGGCAGAGCAGTGGTCTTTTAAGAACCCCAGGTGCCTGGAGGTAAAACAGCTTTTAATTCAGAGTAGATTTCTATTTGGAAGTGAACTTTCCCAGCTGCAGACTCCAGGCTTTGCCAAGGTCTCTCCAGTGATCCTGGCTCTCTCGTTCCTACTGGATGCAACCCCTGTTGCCCTTAGTTTGTCGAGGCAATGGCTCCAGCAATGCCCATGGCAGAGTGCTGGGTCCATTTAGGCAGGTTCCTGAGAGCGTGGAAGGTGAGGGGATGGGGGCGGCATGCCCTCCCGTCACTCGCATCCCACATGCTTGGAACCTCTGGATCAAGCCCGATTGGATGCTTGGGTTTGGACCAGACAAACAGCTATGAGCACCAACGAACACGTGGCTGTCATCGTGGAGATGGAAATTGGTGATTCAGGGTTCAATGACCTGTCTCATTAGGGTCACTCCTGCCTGCTCCTTTCGTCATGCATGCCTGATCGGGCAGGTTGTCACTCAGCCAGGGCAAACAAGCATGTGGAGAGGGAATGCTGTATCCTGGTTACAGGAGGGGAGCTGGGAGCCAGAGTAACTGAATTTGCTTCTTAAATCTTCCTGTTCCTGTGCTGGGTAGACTCTGCTAGGAGGATTCCCTTCCCTTTGCCTCAGCTTGCCTCTGGGGGAAAAGTGGGAGAGGGATAAGAGGCTCAACATGAGCCGTAAAATAGGAGCTGTAAGTCTAACTGGAAGCATAACCACTCCACACCTTCCCTCTGCTCATCTCAAAGCACATTGGTCTGACCACATCATCAGCCGGATGGTGAGGCACAGGAAGATAAAGGGATGCCTCTGTGGATCCCTCTGTGACGTTGCCCTAGTGATCCCTAGTGGGGTGATACAAAGAGGCAGGATCAGGAACAGCTCAATGATTTAAAATAAAATCGTATTTCAGATCATATTTCTCTCTCGCCTCTTTGTTCATTCACAAGATTTCCTTTATTGTTGTCTGCTTATGCACAAGCCCAGACCACAAACCCACCTGAAAATGCCCACAAATAAAACTGAAGGAAAATTAAAATCCTTACAGCCTGCAAATGAACTCAACAAAGCCACTGGTGGAAAAAGTTGGCTTTCGAGACTTTTGCTTTATTTTCTGCACCCTGTGCACCATCCACCTCCTTCCCACAAAGGAACAGACCCACTCCCTTTTGCAGGCCATCACTCTGTGAGGCCAGAGCAGGCTGGTCTTGGTGCCAAGGGCTAAGCTGTAAGAAAGGAGTCTGCTGGGGAACTGCAGGCTCCAAGGCTTGGTACTGCCAGCCCAGCTGTTGCATGTTTCAACTCCCTGCATTTGTAACCAACTAACTTCTTGTTTTGTTTTGTTTTCCCTTTTCTTTTCTTGAAAACGTCCATTGCCACCTCTCCAAGGAGTTGTCCTCCGCTCCCGCCACCACCACTGTTGGCACCCTCACCTCCCGGGTGACCAGGAATGGGGATGTCGTCATGGAGAAAGACTCACTCAATCATGAGGACTTGGCAGGAGATCGGGGCATGATAGACGATATCTTTGATGAGACCTACCGTGAGAAGGAGGGCCCCAAACCTCCACTGCAATACGTCTGGAGGAATATCATCCTCATGAGCCTGTTGCATTTAGGGGGCATATTTGGGTTGGTGCTGATACCTTATGCAAAGATCCAGACTTTGGCATGGGGTAAGTACATACTTCCCCTTGTTTCTTGGCATCTGCAAGCCTGGCTGTAGGGTTTTTCTTTCCTCCAGACCCTGAGACTCAAGGAGGAGAAAGAAGCAAACGTAGGTCTTCTGTTAGAAGAAAGTATCTACTAGTATCTACTGCAAGGTTATGAAGGGGAAGGATTCGTCAGAGGACTGCCTGGCTACTTAAAGAGCAGACTTCATGCACAGGCATTAGACGAGATGTGGGGAGATCTTTCCTCCTGTTTTACCCATCCTTGCCAGCTCACAGGGGTCCTCTGCTTAGCAGGCTGTTACTATGGGAGGTGGGAGAGGTGGGGACAGTTTTACTGGCCCAATTTTCTGGAGCATCTGGCCCTCTCAGGCACATTTCTGATGCTGAGTGAAGAGAATTTTTAAGACTTGAAATAACTGTGGCCTGCAAGACTTCCTGCTAGGGCAGAAGCCCACAGTTAAAAATGCAGCTACTTCTGGGATGAAGCACAGAAAATATTTGATGGAGCACAGTGATAGTCCCTAAAGTCAGAAAAAGGATGCTAGCAAGAGCATCTTCAGGGGTGGCTAGGGAGGCAAAATACAGGACATTATTTGGAATGAGGCTACTGCCTCAAGATAACAACTATTACTGTTCTTTCCAAGGGAGGATGTACACCCTGCAGGGACTCCATGTGTGTGTGAAGGGAGAGGCAAAATACAATTGTGCTGGAGGTAAAAGGCAAGAATTAAATCCAAAGCTCAGTCTTTTATCATTCTTCCAAAAGCACAGATTAGCCCCCATCATCCTGAATTAAGCCTGACAACTTTCAAAAAGTAAATAAAAAAAAGCAGCAGCAAAAAAAAAAAAAAGCTTAAGTGGCTCTCCAGGCAGCAAATTCCATTGGAAAGCACAACCAAGCAGAAGGTAGCTAGGCGAAGCTCCCCTTTCTTAGAGACCTTACCCTGGGTAGGAACTAAACTTCTCCTTTGACTGCTTGAAAGGCAGCTGGGACCAGCGCCCGAGCTGTTGGGGGGGCCATGCTTTCCATTAGGCTTTGTGTGGCCCCTTGGGGGATTTGAGCCACTAAACCGTTCCCAATGGGGAGGTCCAGAGACTGCATCCAGCCCCTGCCTGTTTGTGAGACAGGCCATGCTGAAACGAAAAGCACCAGTCACATTTGAGACCTGCTGGCACTGCGGCAATGCTCTTGGTTTCAGTATGCTCCTTCAAAATGCTCAGCTGGGAGCGGGAAGCAGCCATAAAGTCCATCCCCTAGGGAACGTCTGGCAGGAACCACCTGGCCAAGCAGGTTGCAGATAGGCCCTGGAGAGGTCCACCTGGAATCTCGTGCTCTTCCTTCCTGCTATAGCCAGATGAGCTCCCGGGTCAGTCATATGCTCCAAGTCTGTCCTCCCAATGGCATCAAGCAGGGAGCTGGGAGCACCACAGCTGGAGCAGGAAGGGGATGCCTCCCTGCATGGCTGGGCTGAGCGTCTCCCCCTCCGGCCATCCAAGTCTCTCACAGGCAAAGGACTGTGGGATGAGCATTGCTCAAGGTTACAGGACTGAGTCAAAGGCTGACTACAGCATCTGAAGAAACAGGTGCTGACGTGTTCTCTGTGCAGCCAGCGTGGCCTGTCAGGGGGTCGTTATGAAAGAAACTTTGCTGGGCCTTTCCCTTGTAAAAAACTGACAGGCTCCAAGAATGCGTGCGTTGTGCTTATTTTCCCTGGGTCTGGAAGGGCTGGGCAGAACATGCATGCAGCCTCAGCATGTCCTTGGAGGAGTGTTTCAGGGATCCCAATACTGTTCTGCATGGTGGAAAGTCTTATCCCTGGGCTCTGCGCTGCAAGGTGAGCGCCGCTGTCTCACGCACCATGCTGACACCCTGGGTCATCCAACCCCAAGCCAAATATCCTCAGGGCTTTGGGGCAAGGAGGGACAAGGTGAATTGGGCTCCTCGGTTTCAGCTCAGGCTGGTGAGATGTGCCATGATTTCCACATCAGGCCAACCCTTCTTCCTTGAGCTCCCTTGAAATACTTAAGCTGGCTCGAGCATCTTGATCCAGCAGGGTTTATGCTGCTTTGCATTCTGCTAAGCCCCATCTTACCCCCAAAATGGCCTCTGAGGCAGTGTCTTTGCAATCACATGCTTGTTCAGGATGTCCATGGGGCATCCCATGGCAGTTTTGTAGGAATCTGTCCTATTTTCTTGACTTCAATCCGTCCTGCTACCCTCGCTCAATGAACTCCGATGTGAGGAGACAGGTGCTGGTCCTGCCACTGTGAGGCACTGTGTGATTCCCTGGTGACTTCTAGAGTGATGAATGCTCTGGGAACTGGGAATGGGAGAAGGACATGGAGTTTAATGGAGCTGCACTGTTTTGGACTGGCTAAAGATCCATCCTATGTTAACAGAGCTGGAATAGCTCCAGAGAGCTCCCTGCCTTGGATCACAGCACTTGTTGTGGGAAAGGACCACCTTGTTTTGCACTCAGCAGCCAAGACAGAGCTTTCCCCATTAGTCCTTTCTCCTTGAGTGCAGGCTGGACCTGGAATACTCTGATACTCCATGGGTCTGACTTCTTAACAAGGCTCCTTGCTCTTTCTTGTATTCCCCTTTCTCTGATCAAACCTTTCTGTGGGATGTAGAGAGCCTCTGTGACTTTGTCACATCAGTGACTTGCTGCTATCTTCCCAGCAACTTCTGTTACTAAGGACTACAGTTCTCATTTTACACTCGAGGACAGGGCAGTACAGAGATTTATACTGTTCCCAATGGTATAACATTGGCTCTTGGTAGAGCAGCTCTCCCAGTGCTAGGCTTGAAGCTGCTCTTCATTTTCAGATCATCCTTTCCTTAGATTATGTACATATAATATAAAATCAACATGGCCCCGTGTGTTCTCTGTAGTGATGCTATGGGCTGCCTTGTAGATGATCTATCTTCTATATTTTTCTAAGCAGCAATCCCTGCTTCTGCCCTCCTCATCCAGGGTGCCGTCTTCTTGATGTTCCTGTCTCTCTGAAACCAGTTATATTGGTGACTGTGTCCTCTTTTGTTTTCATTTCTCTGTGTGCTAATTCCTCTTTGTCTCTCAAGCTCTCCAGCCCTGCCTTCATCATTGTTTGCTGTTCTCATTGCTGTGTGCATTGTATCCTCTGATCTCTTTCTGGTACAGAGCTTCCCAGAACGAGCTGCGGTTGTTGATCAGGTGAGATCTCACCGTAGCAAGAACATTTCGAGCCCTTGTACTATTGCTCCCTACCCAGCTCCTCTCTTATTTACTGTATTCCCCACTGCACTTGACAAAATTTTGCCCTTACTGATCATGGGAAGATTTCATGTCATTTGCCAAAAGGCACAGAGATGGAGTCCAAAAGGGCAGGATGCAAAGGTGATTGACAGTTTCTTCTCTCATTGCTCTGATCCTTGGGGAAACATGATTTGCAGGTTGTCTTCCTGGCCCTCAGGTGTAGCAGACACGTTATTTGTATTAACCCTGGCTGGCCTGGCCAACAGTGACTATAAAACAGTGATGGTTCCTCTCGGCTTAGTGGTCCCCAGCTTCCTGCAGTGCCAGCAGTGGGAGAAATGGGTTGATATTGGTTTTTTGTTGCTGCTGCATCATCTTTGGACCAAAGAGAATCCTGCTGGATAATTTAGGTGACTCTGACAGTCTAAAAACTGCAGCCAGTAATGGACGAAATAGTTGTACTGCTCTCAGGGATGTGCCCAGCACAATATTTACAGCAGTTCCTTGTTACCTTCCCATCAAGGCTGCTACTGGCAACACCTCCCCACTTAGTATCATCTGCAGGCTTACTTAGCAGGCTGCATGCTTCTCCTCTGAGTGCTAAGAGGAAGATCCGATTTTGCCAGACAGGGAAGTTAGGATTTAGCAGCAGTAGCTCCAATTGTTCCTTCTAAACACTGTTCCCTTTCTGATGCAACTTGCATACATTTACTTACGCTTGCTATCTTTCTCCTGAAAATAGTAATTATCTTGATATCCTTAGGACTTACCTAGCTAGTAGGGGCTAGGAGGCAAGGAGGGAAGAGACTAGAGCTGTAGTTTTCCCTCCTGCTGAGCAGAAGCCTGTTGGACATCTCTTGGAACTGGGACACCTTTTCATACAACCATCCTTAGTGTTGACTGCAGGTGACAAATCCTTCAGCACATTCCTGTCTTCCCATCAAACCTAGAGGTCTGAATCCATGTCCCAAAGATGTACAGGGCAGTGAATCATGTAGGCATGACTGAATCTGAATTATTTTGGGCTTCATTTCTGGAGCACTGAGTGTGCATTACTGCCAGTAGTCATAATTCTTTGTATTCCAGTTGAGCAGGTCACTGGCAACATCATCTGTGAGTTGACAGTCTTTTCTCTAGAGCTCCTTGCATACTTCACAGCCAAGATCATGTCACGTGAACGTGGCTTTGAAACCTCAGCTGGTGGCACTGGTGGAGTGCCTAAGTGCTTCAGTTTGAGGCAGATTCACAAAGGAGCTATAACAATCAGCACTACTTTATCTCACCTTCTCCATCCTCTTTCTAATTTCATTCCTAGTGTATGAGCTTGAATGAGCTTTCCTTATTTCTTCCCTGTGCGATGCTCCTTCCCCGCCTAAGCTCTGATCACCATTGTGCCTGTTTGTGGGGATGAGTCCTCTGAATCATAAGGTGCTTGATTTTTCTGTTTCCCACTAGGCTTTTCAATCTCACTGTTGCTATCCTGTTCCTGCTGTCATTATCACTGTCACAACAGCTCTTGGGGTGGGGGAGCCAGTAGCCTCAAGAGTTTAGAGTTTGCAGGGCTGGGTATCAGGTATGCTCAGGCTGAGAATCAGTTCCTTTCCCACACAATGTATCTGCTTCTTAGATAAAATACAGCTGTGGCATACAAGCCAGAGTCAAGGCAGCATGAGATTACAGTTAGCAAGTTGTGGCCACAGAGGCTTTGAATGATGTCCATGACTGTTTTATGCCAGGGCACCCAAAAGCAATGGTTATTCTTCCAAATTTTTAACAAAGGTTTTCACTCAAGGCTACCTAGAGCAAGGACTAGGTTTTCAGGTTTCTGGGTCTGCTGGTGTCTCCACCATGTCTCTTTTGTGATTCCTTGTGCTTGCTGCTGTGTCTTCAGAAAAATAACCTAGCCAGCATATGAAGTTTAACTAGAGAGAGAAGCCTGAACTCCCTGCACTCACTTCCCCTGGTATTTATTTTCCAGTGCCATTAAAGATGATGAACAATTGCACAGTTTAACTAGCTGTCCCCAGTGCACTATTAACCTACACCTGCTGGCCCCACCATGGAGAACCTACCTAGCTCTTTTCCCAGCAAGTTGCCCCCTACATCCTTGATTCAAAGTACATTGTGATCTGCCATTGTTTTCTATGGACTGCCTGTCTGATGTTTCTTATAGCGTCCACACAGGTTGGGGTTTAAATCAAGACCCCTGGATCTTCCTCCCAGCTCTGCCATAAGTTGCTGTCACCCTTGGAAATTTATCTCACCAACAGAAGTGTGCACAGCTGGTAAAATGCTGCTCAAAGCTTTTATGGCCTATGGTTTCCTGGGTATAGCATCTCATATCCAGGGGAGAATGGTGGTATGTCATGCTCCTACCACTAATAGGAAGGGTCTGAAGTGTCCAGGAGTGGTTTGGTTTGTTATTGCAGTGTCTGAGGCCAGAGAGGTTCTGCAAATCAGAGTCAAATGTTAGGTGCTTTCTCAAGGGTTTGTTCTTCTCTATGAATCTGTGTAGATAGGGACTGATTTAAATTAAGTCTTAAAATCTAAAACCAACAGCAAACTTGTCATGAGCTAGCTCATAATCTTCAAGTTAGCATCACTGGGCTTGGGAAACCTTCAAGGTGTCCTGCATAAATATTTCCCTGTCACTAAGCCAAAGGTAGACCTGTACCAAGCACTCTGCTCCAACATGCCTCCCCTCTCCCCTTCCAGGTTTGGCCAGCTTTGTGAGCAAAGCTCCATTATCTTCTGCAAAAGCCAGATTGTGCTCCATTTACTTTTATTTTCATGCCTTCTCATGCCCCATAAATCAGTTATGGCCAATGACCTCTTGGCTCCTCTGAGAGACTGCAGAGGCCCTAGGAGACATGAGGAAGAGATGTGCTGGCCAGAGGCTTGCCCCGGATTCAGCAGCAGATGTGGAAGCCAAGAGAGGAGATGACCAGAAATCATGGTCAGATCAGCAGACAGGGAAGGTGGCTGTTATACAGAGGGATGGGAGTAAGGAGGTTCATGCAAGTTTAAGGGGTCAGAAGAGGATGTTAAATCCACTGAGACTGGCTTGTAACCGATATGAGATTAGGCTTGGAATGTAGAAAAACAAAAAGGAGGTGATGCAGTGAAGGAATAAGGAGCAGGAGATGATAGGAAATAAAGCCTGGATTATTTTGAATGAAAGAACCAGGTGACAGTGCCCCGCGCATGTCTCAAATCTCTGATTCCAGAAAAGTTCCTGGCAGAATATCTATTTTCTGGGTTCAGGATAAGCTTGAATAGAGCCATTTGGCTGGACTGAGTGGTATTGTCAAGCATACTAGAGATTCCTATCCATAGGCCTATGTATATGAATAAGGTGTTGTTTGCGTGATTGATCTAATAGGCTAAAAGCTGATAATTTATACCAAAGAAAGAGTTATTCCATGGGGAAACTGAGAATATTTCCCTTCCCCCAGGGGGCTGAAGGATGATCATGTGCACAGATGTGTGCCTTTCCCTCTCAATGTCTGAGCTTGCAGAGGAGAGCAACTGTTGAACCGCCTCTGTCTTTCTGCCACACTTCCTGCCCTTCCTTTCTGGGAGAAGAATTACTTTTCATATTCAGTTCTCTTCTGATCACCTAATGTAATGCTGCTATGACTATACTGCAGATTTCTCTCCATTTTAGCTCTAGGATCAGATGCTGGAACCTAAGTTAAACACCAAAGGCACCAGAATGTCATGCAGGAATGCACAGACCAGGGGAGACATAAACATGTGATCCAGGGCTAGAGGGATGTGTTTTTCCCCTGCTGCTGGAGGGATGAGGATTTTCTCCTGGCCTGTGTGGAAAGGAAGTGCATGAAGCAGGCTTGAGGCTCATGAGGACCCAGCAGCAAGTGCCTCTGTCCTGGGCATGACTTGCAATGAATTACTGGCCTTGGAGTTTCCTTCTGCAAATGGTGCAGGAGTTGAACAGAGAGGGGGATCAGAAAGAGGCTGGGAACGGGAGGCTCTGGGTAGTTTTGAGTCTGTGATGCAACTGAAGATCAGGGTTCAGTGGAATGGTAAATTAGACCTTTCTCTGTTAAGCTTCAGCTCAGAAAGAGAACAGACAAGAAGCTTAACCCTGAATAACTGTAAGACCATCTACTGCCTCTAGGTGAAAAGAATGCAAACGCGATGTAGTGAGGAGTAGTGAGATAGGAAAGCAAGACTCTCAGTCAATGGGGTTAGGAGGAACGGGGGGAAGCTGGGCCCTGGTGGGCCATAGAGCTGTTAACATAAAGCAATACAGAAGCAGTGGCTCTATACAATTCTGAGCATCCTGCATCATGACAGGTAACACTATGCTGAAGGATTGACCCCTGTGATAAATCTTGCAAGGGAGTTTCCTCCCTTGGTCACAGATGAGGAGCTGAAGTGATTTGCCCCACGTTGCCTAGGAAGGCTGTGGTAATCTGGAGTCCTGAGGCCCTGTGGTGACATCCTGACAGGCTGTTCTGCATCCCAGACCAACCCTGCCTGACAGTCACAGAGAGGGTAAATGCCTTGCAGTGGAGTAAGAGCACTCTCATGTTGATTTTACTGCCCCTGTCAGCTCTCCACAGGTTCCTGTCTTGCCTGTACAGCTTTGGGGGAAGGCCTGCCTTTGTGTTGAACTTGCCTGAAACTTTGCCACAGGCTGCCTTGCTCT